CAGCGCGAGCTTGAGGAGTTGTTTAGCATACACATCGCTTGCGATCGCAGCAGGACTGGCATCCACAGCGAGTGTTGTTTCTGAAGGAGGCATGACAATGCGACAGTAACTGAGTAAGTGATGGAACGTAGGCTGTAGGCTGTGGCAGCCAGCGCCACAGACGTATCAAGCGCCGCCGAGGAGCCGCCCGATCATGCAACGATCATGGACGCCTTTTGTCCTCTTCCTCCACCCCATTATGGATTTACACTCTCCCTTTGTTCGCCCTTCCTGCCCAGCGGCAACTCGTGCGTGCACTTCTGCTACGAGGATGCCCCAGAACATACTATATGCACTTTCAGCCTCTCTTTGCCCTCGCCCGCTAGTACCCCATCGACTCCCTGATGCATCCCGAGCTGCCCTATCTTGCCTTCATCGCCGCCTCCCTTGTCTTGGTTCCTCTCCCTTGGCACTGGCGAGCCCGTAATGTTGCCACACTCTCGATTATTGCGTGGCTGTTTGTCGTGAATACGATCTATGGCGTCGACGCTGTCATCTGGGCGGACAATGTAGACTCATCGTCATTCCCGTCTGGTGCGACATCAGTAAGTCTGTCCCTACTATGTGGTGTGGTGTAGGCTGATTACGGTGACCCTCAGCGACGAAGATTCTAATTGGTGCAAATATGGCATTACCTGCTGCCTGCATGTGCATTTGTATCCACCTCGAACAAGTCGCGTCTCTCCGCGATGCGAGGATATCAACTGCCACCAAGCAAAGGAGGCAGGTCTTCGAGGGCCTCATTTGTTTCGGTCTGCCTGCGGTTTGGATGGCTCTTCGTACGTTGTGTCCATCGTCCTTCACTGTTACGTTTCTCACTTGGCCTACAGACTACGTCGTCCAAGGACACCGTTTCGACATCATTGAAGGCTACGGTTGCCGACCCAGCACATACGTCTCCGTCCCCTCCATGCTTCTCCTCTGGGTCCCGCCACTCATCCTCTCCGCTATCTCCTTTGTCTTCGCCGGTAAGTCCCCACGTCCCTCTACGAGATACTAACTGACCTCCCGCCACCAGCCCTCGCGCTACACCACTTCATCCAGCGCCGCCTCACCTTCGCCAAGCACCTCGCCAACTCACGAAGCGGGCTCACCACCTCGCGGTACATGCGCCTCATCCTGATGTCCACCATCCTGATGTTCATCGGCGTGATCTCCACATCCATCACGCTGTGGTACTCCACGCTCAGCCTCCGCCCGTGGACGAGCTTCGTGGACGTGCACTGGGGCTTCTCCGCGATCGACCAGTATGCCACGTTCGGGACGCCGCAGCTGGCGCTCACGTATTACTACGTGATTTGGCTGATCGTGCCGGTGTCGTCGTTCGTGTTCTTTGCGTTCTTTGCGTTCTTTGCGTTCGGACGTGATGCGGTGATGGAGTATGGTGCCTGCGTTGCGTGGGTACGGAGAGTCGTGCTTAGGCAGAGGCAGACCGACCGCAAGGCTCCTTCTGACCTCGTTCCGCTTCCTACATCAAGGTAAGCAGTGACAGTGGATGTCTCTTACCGCCTCCGCTGATATCCACATGTAGGACGCCCGCAAGTCCTTTCTCGAAGTTCTCCAGCTCATCAAAGAGCACGTTCACCGCAAGCGAACCAACCACACATGTCTCTGCTGAGAAGAGCGCAGGCTTCTTCTTTGAGAACCGACACCCTCCTACGTTGCCTCCTCTGTGCCACTCCGTCGGCAGCAGCTTCACTGGCCCCGACAGGCCTCATTCGTACACTTCGCTCGTTCGCTCTTCCTCGCACCCATCTCCACCGTTTGTCCAGTCGCCTCATCATGGTTCGGTTGGACATGCTATCTGATTGCCATCAACTGATACCGTCCTGGACTTCTCTGAGCGCCGCCTAGGTTCGACACAACCTATGGAGGGTCTTGGTATGAGACTAGAGCGCCGCCACACAGATCCCTCGATAGCTGCTCTCGTTCGATGTACAGATTCCCTCGCTGTATTACAAGTCGCTGTATCTATAATTTCGCCTCGAACTTGATATATGGGCTTCACCATCATGCTGTGGCCTTTACGCTCTGCTCTGGTGTGGGAGGAACACACTTCTGATTTAGGTCTTGATGCGAACCCTCTATTGTTCATTTCAGCTTCCGTTCGTACCCCTCTATCTTCGCACTGTTAGTCGAGAAAGATTGAAGGATGCAGGACTTCCTTCTCACTGTAAGAAACAATGCCGATGAGCTCGACCCACGCCTGTCTATATCATCCTGCAAGCACGACGCCCTGGCACTCAGTCATCCAAAGATTCATATGTGATCACTAATGGCGTTTTGCATTACACGTCTTTAGATGTCGTCTCATGTCACGGCGGGCCGGCGCGCTACACATGTCCTTGGTTCTTGGATATTACGAGTCATGCCAGTGCGCACTTAAGCGGCGTCGAGCCAAGCCCAACTCGTCAAGTCCAGGAAAGCGTAGTTGAAAGTGAATTCACGCTCATGTGAGAGAGTAAACCGCGAGGCGTCACAAAAACCCGAATAATTGATATGAGCCGGAGGGTGAAACTTTGAAGCCTAATAATACTACAGCTAGGGGTAACTGGCGAACACTCTAGCAGAATCTCGAAGGAATGGTACAGGAGCTAAGGCCTCCATGGATAATAATCGATACATCACGTTGATTTGGCGGTATAACCTCAGATACTGTGAGGACCACTCGCATCAGCATGCTGTAGCGCGTATAATTAAGGGAAAAACTCACAAGATACATGCGGGGCCGACAGTGTTGACAGCGTGTCTAGCCATAAATAAGGCGGTTCTAATGAGTGGTCGAAGTGAGACGAGAGTGAAAGCTACGGGGAAGTCTCGCGCACTTACGAGGGATATATCTCGGATTCACGACACGACGCAGTAGAAGATGCTACCGCCGCCGCTGTGTTCGAAATCGGTCGGGATGACCAATTCGTCGTCGGTCGTCTGCTGTGAATTGGCGAAGGAAGGCTCAATGGGTATGGCCTCAAAGCTGTCGAAGGAATCCATAGTAGCTGGATCGGAAGACGTCTGGGCAAAGTTGACTCGGGTAGCGTGGACCGGGAGGGCTCTGCGCTGAGGATGGTTGTAGCGTTCGTGCAGATTATGGGGAGGGGCATCATTGTGCTCGTATTTATATCGCCCATGCGGTGGAAAGGGCCCGGTGTTCTCCTTTCCATTGTCCTCCCTTTTGGGGCGATGAATGGCACAAAGGGCGGTCACGTGTATCTACCGCCTCCATTGTGGCTTCAGATTAGCGCCCAACCCATGCATTGTTCGACGCGGCCAGGCAATCTCAGCTGTACCATAAAGGTCACTTCGTCAACATGGCGTACTATCCCCTTCAGACTTTGAGACTTGCTGCGTCTCACCATGGCGGCTGATCCTACGTATCCTCTCTATCCTGTCATTTCGTTTCTCGGCTTCGTCCTTGCTCTGATACCTGTCCCGTGGCACCTGCAGTCTTGGAACTCGGGTACTTGCTACTACATGATTTGGACGGCCCTGGGATGTCTGAATCAATTCGTGAACTCCGTTGTATGGGCGAATACCGCACTCAATGTTGCACCAATCTGGTGCGAAATTTGTGCGTACGCGCTTCCAAGTTGATACTGCTCAAGTTTCGCATTTGACTGACCACAGACGTAGCCATTAGGATCACCATTGGCGCCTCCGTGGGCATCCCTGCGGCGTCGATGTGTATCAACCGTCGACTCTACAAGATCGCGCGGGTGCACGCAGTAGCAGTTACACGTGCCGAGGTAAGCCTTTCTGTCAGTCCGTAGCTAGATCGTCATTGATATCGTGTTAGAAACGACGCGCTATCCTAATCGACTCCCTGATATGTGTCCTTTTCCCACTAATATGTATTGCGCTTGGTGAGTACACCCGTCCCCTCGTCGCCGCTTTGCTGACCAATACGCAGCATATGTCGTGCAAGGCCATCGCTTTGATGTCTTCGAAGTGTTAGGCTGCTACCCTGCAATCTACAACACCATACCTGCGTATCCCCTGGTATACATGTGGCCGGTCGCGATAGGAATGGTGTCTGCGGTTTACTGTGGTACGTCTTATTTGTGCTGCGGCTATTTTAAAGTGAGCTGACTTGTAAACAGTTCTCTCGCTTCGCGCACTCTTTGCTCGTCAGGCTCAATTCCGTGAATTCATCTCCGCTACGTCGGGCCTGACCAGCGGGCGGTACTTCCGCCTGATGGCGCTATCTATAACGGAGCTTCTCTTCACTGTTCCTTTTGGCATCTACGAGATCTACTCCAATGCTGGTGGTAACGTCCAGCCCTGGTTAGGCTGGGCGAATACCCACTACAACTACTCCAGAGTGGGCCAGTATCCCGCTATCCTTTGGATGTCAGAGCCGTCGACTGCCATTCCCGTCCAGCTTACTCGATGGATCGTGCCGATCTGCGCGTTCGTCTTCTTTGGGTTCTTTGGGTTCGCCGAGGAGGCGAGGAGACGATATTACTTTTTGTATGCTGCCGCAGGTAGGCAGCTCCAGTCGCTACGGATGCTGCATGTTCGTCGCCACCAAGAGAAGTACGTCTGTCTCAAGGTGTCTAGATTCTCCCTCACTGACGCGTAATCACAGAATGATCCATGGCGCCGTATTGGACAAATCGTTTGACGCCGATGACACTCTACCTGTCTACACGCCGCATGTCGTGTCTCCTGGCTGGCGGTCGCTGGCTTCTGTCACCGTGGCTGCCAGTGATGCATCATCATCACCTCTCGACTCTGCGTTCTCGGACAAATCCTTTGCCGACGACTTTGTATCACATCACGAAAAACCTTGATGACCGCAACTTTTATGTCTTTGCTTCCTCGTCTTTGCTTTCTTCGTAATGCGACTCTGCGCTCAAGATTTTGTATCGTTAGCATCTATAATGACATTGTATACTCTACCGCCTACCTTATGAAAAGCCCGGTCCTCGAGTGCAACCTCCAAAAAGGGGCATCTATGTCATTGAAGGCTTGTGTGAGCCTTCGTAGGTATCAGGCGAAGGAAACATGACTTGACTGTCTGATTGTCCACCCCACCGAAGAGTAGTGCATATGTGTTCTGTCTTCATTGGTTCCATCATGCAACTTGTGCTATCTAGGAATGCAGATATCAGCCGGAATTCAAGAGAGCGAAACGCCGGAACACTGTCACTGGAAGTTGAAGTAGTTGTAGGTCTTGGTACGCGAGCGTCGAGAACGATAATCTAGGCCACTTTGACTCCAGGTCTGGATTTCCTGCAGTAGAGCATATCTAGGTAGTAGGACGACTGAACGAAATCCGATGGTCTCGCATCGTCCTTGACAATGATGAAACCCGTTGGAGCTCAAAGTCCATGACCTTGCGTCTCAGCTAGTGCGAAGCGGCAGTCGTACATGCACTTTGGGCGAAGTTGCTGTAGGCCGTAGCTTTTGGCAAGGGTCAGGCGACGAAAGGCTACATGGTATATTGCTACAGATTCATTCGTACAGTAAGACGAAGATCACCGATGGTATTCCCTAGTGAGAATATGGTAACATACTGTAACATCGAAATAGTCGTGAGAATCGAATAAGCGTAGAAGTCATGCGCGAAACGAAGGCATCTGGTACTCTGCCCCTGTATTGTGCATTGAGTCGTGAGGAACCCACAAGAGTCCATGGCGTGAGCACATCGGCGCGATGTTGGCAGTGAGAATCAGAGACATGCCACCTAAGGCGCTTCGCGACGGTTCGTAGTGATCCATACATCTCGCCTTGCGACGTGGACGTCCTTCTCGACATCAGAAAGTGTGCGGAGATCATCTATCGAGACGTTGAGCTTCAAGGGTCCAGCGGTGTCCCGGAAGGAGGAAGATATGGGTCTAATAGTACGAACAACAGTTAGCAAGCTCGGCCTGGGTGCGAATACCGGTCTCACCTGAACTTCGGGAGAGAGGACATGCCGCCCTTGCTATCAGAAGAGCGGCGCTGCGCACAGGGACATAGCAAGCGCCGTATGTAGGTCCAACAGGCAGCGTAACTTTGCGCAGTATCCCGACTGAACGCGAAGAATATAAAGAAGAGATAGGCCGAGACGGGCACAGCCCACCAGAGGAGGTACGTCATGACGAGAGTTTGCTGAGGTATTAACACTGTGGGGAATTGGCCAATGCGGGAGAAGTCTGAATGCGTGTTGGACCAACTGGTCCACGGACGCAGCCCGTCGCGGTAGGAGAACCAAGTATTGAGGGCCGTGATAAGGAGACCCCAGAACATTTCAACGAGGGCCATGCCCATGAGGCGGAAGTAGCGAGAAGGCGTTAACGCTGATGAATTGCTCCGCAGGTGCTTCGCGAACGTTGCTCGTCGACGGAAGAAATGAGTGAAGGCAAGCGCTATGACCAGATGAGAAAACGCAACACATCATCGGTTTCAATGTAGGACTCACCTGCGTAGACAAGTGTCGCAACGGAGAGGAGTATAGGCGGAAACCGTATGAGGAAAAACTCTGGGATAGAGACATATGTCTCCGGTCTACAACCGAGATTCTCGACTATGTCGAACCTGTGGCCCTGTACAACATAGTCTGCAAAATGTTAGTCAACGACAACGAGAAGAGAGACGTTACTCACATAGGCTCATGTAGACTGCAGGCAGTCCGAAGCAGAGCACGGAGTCTACCAGCATGCGTTTACGTTTATCTGCCTCGGTGATCTGTACCATTCTTGCAGATGCGATGCGTTCCAGATGCATACACAGCGCAAAGCATGCTGCTGATAGTGCAAGATTTGAACCAATGAACAGTCGTGTTACTGAATGAATAGGTGAAGAAGGTGAGTCGATGCGAGATGAGGCCCGAAGTCGAAGAAACTCACCTATATCGCACCAAACGACGAGTTTGATTTCGACGTTGTTGGCCCAGGCAAGAGTGTTTATTCCTTGTGCCAGGTTCGCTACGAACAACCATATGCTTATGGCGATAGTTGCTACGTTTCGCGCTTTAACGTGCGCAGGTAGAGGGATGATGACGAGAACAGCTGCCGCAAATGAGCCTAATGGGAGTCCAACCTGCATCGTCGGTGTTCAAGTGTAGAGCACGGGAGCATCTGGGAGACGAAGGTGGCCGGGTCATGCTCATATCAGAGCGCATGTCGGTATGGATGGTCGCTTTGGGCGAACAAAGACGTCTGCCATCGGACTCACAGGCGCCCGCCGATGGACTGCTTCCCGATATGGCAAGTGTGGCGCGGAGCCTATGGCCCTTGACAATTTGAACCTCCTCCTCAGTGTACCTCATGATATTCATCTGGGTCGTCTCTAGGCCTGCGTTGTACTATCGGCGCCCACAGCTACATGCGTCGAGAGCGATGATTGCATCATATACCGAGTCTGCGAACTGGCCAGCCTCGGAACGCCGTCTTGCACGGTGGCGGCATCATCGGCTCTGCAAGAATGGCGAAAACCCACATTGTCTTCGCCACGCGAAGACCGGTCTGACCCCATTGTTCTCCCTCAAATGGTAGGAGGCAGTCTGAATAGACCGTTTTATTGTGCTTGAAGATGTGCGCTGTATATACCGCACTTGCTGTGGTCGTAAATGTGCTTGCCCCGCTCACGTCTGCTAACCATGGCGTCCGACCCGTCTTATCCTCTCTTCCCCATATTCGCCTTCTGTGGTTTCGTCCTAGCAATCGTCCCCCTGCCGTGGCATCTTGAGGCCCTCAATTCGGCTACGTGCTACTATATGATCTGGGCATCTTTAGCGTGTCTGAACAAGTTCGTGAACTCTCTGGTTTGGGCCAATAATGCCCTCGACTCCGCGCCTATCTGGTGCGATGTTTGTGAGTTCAACCTCTGACCAATCGTCCGACGTGCTTCTAAATAACTTACTCTGTTCCAGCGACGCGGATTATCATTGGTGCTTCAGTTGGCATACCAGCTGCTTCCCTATGTATCAATAGACGGTTGTACCTCATCGCGAGGATGGGCGCAACCACTGTGACGAAAGCGGAGGTTCGTGGTTATTCAGAATCTTTTCCTCCTCATCGTTAACATTGCTATCGTGGTACTCTAGAAACGGAGAGCGATCTTGGTAGACACCCTCATCTGCGTGCTCTTTCCCATCATTTGCATGGCCTTCGGTCAGTTCAGTGCTTGCTCGGTCCTGAAGACCTGAAGTCTCATGTTTGTCGTAGCGTTCATCGTCCAAGGCCATCGCTTCAACATATACGAGGAGATAGGCTGCTACCCGGATATATATAACACCATCGCCGCGTATTTTCTCGTCAACTGGTGGCCAGTCGTCCTGGGGCTCATCTCTGCTTGCTACTGCGGTACGTCTCTAATGCTATAGCATGCATTTCTCGTCCTGAACACGCTCTCTCAGTACTATCCTTGCGATCGTTCTATCTGCGTCGAGCGCAGTTCAGAGAGTTCCTATCCTCGAGCAAGACCTCGCTGACTTTCGGGCGATATTTCCGTCTCATGGCGCTCGCGACTACCGAGTTGCTGTTCACAATTCCCATCTCAGGCTACGCGATATACCTGAATGCCACGACACTGTCTATGGAGCCCTGGATCAGCTGGTCCTACGTGCACTATCAGTTCTCTCGAGTAGAACAAGTGCCGTCTGTGGTCTGGCGCTCAGATCGCTCTCTCGTCGTTGCGCTCGAGTTGGGTCAATGGCTCAACCCGCTTTGCGCGCTGATCTTCTTCGCATACTTCGGAATTGCGGAGGAGGCAAGGCGTCACTACAAGGAGGCTTTCTGGTTCATTGCCTGTCGCCTCGGCTACTCCCAACGTTCTCGCAATTCAACCGGCAAACATTTGTTAAGGTTCGCGATCCCACACTGTACGCCGAGTTCATTGACTGATGGCGCTATGTAGCATGGCGTCTGCCCCCGCAGTGAAGAACCTGACATACAATTCATCCGACCTGCCGCCCACGTACTCTCCCTATCGCGTCCCGTCTTCCGCCAAAGCGTCCTTGAGCTGCGGCTCAGAGCCTGGGACAGGCGAGAAGATGACGATCTACGAGATATTGCAGTCGCAGACTCCGACTGACGAACACTACGATTATTCGTCGACTTCACTCACACCCACAACATCCGCCTCGACGCACTCTCATCATCCTCTATCATCGCCCTGGCGCCACTCAGAGAGCGTATGACCTTCATGGACATTATGAACGCCACGAGCATCATACCCTCCGTTTCGTCAGACCATGCTTCTGACGTTCCCTTGCAATACCCTTGATGTATCATAAGGCCGCACTGTAATTCAAACCGCTAATGAATTTGTCGTGATCGACGACCTTATGTCTCAAGAAAATATGCCCGCTGTCCTGAACGGACATTACGTCGAGTCGTGCACTTACGGCGACGTCTACGGACTCTCGATGTCTCTCAGGCGCATGTCATGAAATCATCACCAACGTCTCATCCGTTTTCCCCAGGAAGTCGCAAAAAGCGGGAAAAATATGGATACAATTTCAATCACTACGATGACATGCTACAATGTGGAGACAATAGGACGTTCGTGGACGACCATGAATCGAACGGGGTATGCGCTGAATCGGAGGCACCTATGAGTCGGGGCCAGCTTGGTTAGCGAACTGCTCAGGCTGTATCCAAAAAGAATCGTACTCACAACATTGACCATTAGTATTTTGAAGTGCATTGCGTGCACTGTACGTATACGATGAAAGTCTAATAATCGGCGACGTGCTACAAGCCAAGTACTGGTATCAGTCCTCCGTCTGTGGGCGCTTGAGGATGTGGAAGCTTACCTCCGGGCACGCATACAGTGGGGGGTAATCAAGCAATAGTGCAAAAGATGGACCAAGTGCCTGATCCAGAGTGGTCCGTGTCTACGGGGATGTCTGCAGGTCCGGACGAGCCGGCGTTATCCATCTCTCGGAGGAGGGAGGTCTCGGGGACAACAATGTCGAAAAACGCGTCCATGACAGTTGTAGTGATTGGTTAATTGAAGGAGCGAAGTGAGAGGTGGCGATTCTAGGTGTTGGATTCTCTAAGTCGATGCGAGGACAGATGAAGCATGAGCTTTTGAGCTTCAGGCCTGAGAAATACGCGCTGACGCTTTTGGAGATCAATAAGTCTGCGGAGTCATTGTCCTCTGAGCCTGCAGGGCGTACGTGGACGTGGTTGTTCATCCTTCCCAGCTATGTAGACAATGGTGTGCAGTGTTATGCACCCCACGCCCAAACAATAGGGTCACGCGTTGAGCATAAGTACCGTGCGGACTGATGCTCGCGCTTGCAACCGAAGATCCATCGCCCAAGTCCGCCGCCCACTCCGCGCATCACCATCACACAGCACTTTCACCGCCAGCCACCGTCTAACCTTACCGTGCAATGGACGAGCTATACGACCTCACTCTTGCCTTTCCTGGCATGGATGACGCGCCCACCATGTCCGTCAAATACGACCTCCCTGTTGATCAGGACTCCGTAGAGCCACGATCCGGCGAGTACTGCGTTATTGCGTAGTCGATCACTCCATGGTAAGTACACCGTCGCACGTATGACAATTAGAGAGCTGAAGACAAGCCCATCTGTAGATTACTAAAGCTAGATAATGCCTATCTCGCCTAGTCTGTAGCGTTCACGCCATATAATTTCTGTAAGCTTTCGCGGTCACTGTTCACAAGCTTGAGACTGATCATCGTCTATCAGCACCTCGGTATACTGTATCCTTAGCTATGGAAGTTACATGGACTCTGGAGACTGCTTGTATACCCTTACCTCTCTGCGGGTTATGATACCCTTGATGTAACCTACTGCATAGATCCGTGTACCAGCATGGGCTGTCACGGTCATTATACCAAGTATTGGCGAATTTACGAACACAATCAGAGCAGTAACTTGCGTGTGAAGAAGCAGAGGATTAGTATTTGCACAGTCGACAGGCTTGTCCTACCGATTACTGTGACTAGAACAATAATGTTTGTGACAGTGAGGTGCAGTGGCCTTTGGTTTCCCAAAATAGAAAGTGCACTGCCTAAAGCGGCGAGCGGTCCTGCGCAGACAAGCGCCCGTGTGTCAATAGTCTACGACGGCTTTGTTGGTGTGCAAACGGGGCACAACTTGTTACAGCGTCAACATGCGACCATTTATTACGCGACCATGCCAGGCGTTGACACAGCGAAGGCACAGTCCTCTCCGCTATGCCTGCAACACTGTCTGCCGGCGCGTTCATTGCCGCAATCCTGGTCTTGATACCCTCGCCGGCGCACTGGCGTGCGCGGAACGTCGCTATCCTGTCCCTCATTGCCTGGCTAGTTGTGGTCGACCTCATCTATGGCGTGGACACCATAGTGTGGGCTGGTAACGTCGAGGTTCGTTTGGTCGTCTGGTGCGACATTAGTACGTCTCTCTTCCACCGTCGTTTCAACTGTGTCTGACGTTCACTGTTTGCCCGTTCTAGCCACAAAGATTATTATTGGAGCCTCCTCTGCGCTGCCTGCGGCGGCGATGTGCATTTGCAAGCATCTCGAGCTAGTCGCGTCCGGGCGGGCGGTGCGCTTGACTCGCGAGGATCAGCGGCGGAGGATGTGCTTCGAGTTTGCGATGTGTTTCGGGGCACCGGTGGTGCTCATGGCTTTGCGTGCGTGCTACCTCTCTCGGAACCTACTATGGCTGACCCGTGTACAGACTATATCGTCCAGGGCCATCGTTTCGACATTGTCGAAGACATCGGCTGCCAGGCGGCCACCTACTACTCCATTCCAGCGGTATTCATCGTCTGGTTCCCACCGCTGCTCTTCGCCACGATTACATTTATTTACGCGGGTACGTCAACACATCTCGTATCCTTCCCCTCTGCCATGCTCATCTGCGCTCTCCTAGGCCTCGCCCTTAATCATTTCTTCAGACAACGGCTCAACTTTGCCACCCACCTCCGGAGCTGCGACTCCGCCCTCACCACCAGCCGGTACCTCCGGCTCATCGCCATATCCATCACGGAGATGCTCTGGGGCGCGTCCCTCACCGCGCTCGCGATGTACGACAACATCGCGCCCGGGCTCTACCCCTACACCAGCTGGGCGTCCGTGCACTCCTCCTTCTCGCGCATCGGGCAGTACGCCCTCGTCGAGTTCTCGCCGCGCGCCCGGGGGCAGGCCTTCCTGTTCGTCTGGGCCGTCCCCGCCTCCTCCTTCATCTTCTTCGTGTTCTTCGGCTTCGGCGAGGAGGCGGTCAAGGACTACCGCAGGGCGCTCTCTTGGGTCGCGCGCAAGGTCACTCGGCTCCCCGCCAAACACGACAAAACGAAGCTGCCGCTGCTCCCGATGGGGTACGTCTCGTCCTCTGCATGATCGACCGACTGACTGACTGACGCGCGCACCGCACAGCCGGCCCTCCCTGAGCACGACCAAGTTCTCGTCCTCCTTCCGGCCCTCGTCCTCGTTCGACTTCAGCGACGGCAAGGCGGTCCCCGCGTACTACGCCCCGCGCGACGCGTCCCTCGACATCGAGGACTACGTGCGTCCCTCCCACTCCCCGCGCTCCCCGTCGTTCCCCGCAAAGGCGGAGGTCGGCGCGTACCCCGTCCACCGCGCCTCGATCATGCTCAGCGACGCGGAGCTCGACGCCCTCCTCGCGCGGTGCCCGTCCATCCGTTCCAGCGTGCCCTCGCCGGGCTCGCCTACCGAGCTCGGCCACCGCATCGAGGTCGCCGACGCTCACCCCGCTGAGCGGCCCGTCTCCACGCACGCGGCCCACAGCTCGCCCATCGCGGCGCCCTCGCCGGCGTACCACTACCGCTCCCCCAGCTCGCCGGGCGGCCACTCCCACCGCGCCCAGGCCTCGGCGGCGGCGCCATGCCCCGTCAACTTGAACGTAGGGCAAGTACTCCTCCTCGTCAACACCGAACGCGCCGCTTGACTTACGCTTACCATTTGAACGATGACCCGGACGTTCGGGGCTCAACGAGGCTGAACGCGTTGCAGCCTTGCAGATATGTACCTCTAGCCACGGTGTCTACTGCTGTATCCCTACTGGACTGGACGCGGACGACGCGGTGTCGTCCGCCGCGCTTGGTCTTTGACTCACTCGTACAATAAGTCCCCGTCGCGTATTTACTACTCTTGCTGCTTGATGAAGTGCTGATCTCTGTGTACTCAGTACTCGCTCGGAATGACATAATGCCAGTACAAAACTTGTCCTAAAACATGTTCGGCGTTGAGTGTTGTCCCAAACCCGGAAAGGGCCTACTAATAGTGGCAACATGCACAGGTTCTGACCGCGTGAACGGGTTTGAAAGGCAAGTCTCAAAGGACTTTGTTGAGCATGCACGCAAGCTACGGACTTGCTGCGTCCGGCGAGCACTACCAGGGTGGCGGGCAATACCCCGTTTGCTCCACTCAAGGTACTTCAAGCTAAGACCGGTCATGACATGGGTTCGTGACATCCATTGAACAGGTCACGCACTGTGCGCTCATCGAGGAGTCTCAGTCTGACGAGGCTGCCAACTTGAAATTGGCCAAGCCGTCTGGGTTACAGTACTCATTGCTCTTGAGAACATAATTACGTTCGAGTACGTGAGCATTTATGCAAGACTGTATCTCAGTGCATTTCGTGCAGAGTGCGCCAGCGCAATGAATCAGAGTGAGCGTCGTGACTGTGGCAGATACATCCAAGAAACCATCGATAACCCCATTACAACTAAGCTACAAAATCGTCGCCACCCTTTTCGTCTTTCTTGCTATAATACAGCTTCGTCTAATCTCCCCGTCGTCGTGTAAAGCGTGTCGTAGGCTTTGGAACTTGAAGCTTGAAAGCTTGAAGAACGAAAGTCGATAGATATTGCGCCACCAGCATGCAAGGCGACATACGGGGCAATCTGAACACCCCGATTTCAGTACTAGCATAGATGGTGGACTGGCGACGCAACTCACAATATAGAAGAGCGGATAGACGGTCATGCGATGGTACACCATCCCCATGTTCCATTGCCACCGGTATGCTCGTAGTCGACGGGTATCAACGATGATGAGGTGTCGGGCTCGACGTCGGAAATTGTGAACGTCGACGAGTCGGGGAAGGCGGTGAGATCTGAATTGCAAAACTCGTCCATTGCGTGGAGAGGCGAGGCGAGTGCGGAAAGACTGTTGTAACTGTGGCCACGTAGGTGAGGCTTACTGGGAGCAGATAAGGTGAGCGACCCCCTTTGTTCTGGCTTATATACCGGTCAGTCTCATGCAAAGTCCAAATACACATGGGCAATAACAGAACGAAGCAAGACTTAGCAAAACAATAGGATCACAACCAGATTGTTCGCCGAATATGGCCACAGAGCTGCCACAGTAGCCTGTAGGCAATCGCTTGTGGGCGCTTAAAGACAAAAGGCACTATCAATCACGTGTGCTACAGACAAACCTCAGCTCCCCCATTGTGCGCCGAGTTTGAACAGAATTAAAGACGATGGGCGTTACGGAAGACTTTCAAACCTCCCCCTCACACTACCAGTTCCCTGCATTGTCAGCATGCTCGATACCCCTTATCCCGTATACCCCGTATTCGCTTTCCTCGGGTTCATCGTAGGGCTCATCCCGCTACGATGGCACTTACAAGCCTGGAACGCTGGAACTTGCGCGTACATGCTATGGGCTTCCCTCGCATGTCTCGTTGAATTCGTCGACGCTGTCGTCTGGCACGGGACAGCTGAGAACATCGCACCTATATGGTGCGACATATGTAAGACTTCTCTTGACACGTCAATGCAAGCCTGACTGATGTTGTGCTTTCTCTAGCCACCAAATTCCTCATCGGCGCAGGTGTTGGAATACCCGCTGCCTCACTGTGTATCAACAGGCGACTGTACAAGATCACATCAGTTCAAAGTACTACGACCACATACGAAGAGGTACGCACCCTGTGGCCTGCCTGTATCGTGTAACAGCCACTCACCATTGCCTACAGAAACGCCGGCAAATGTACTCGGATCTTGCAATCTCTCTGGGTATCCCAGTACTAGTTATGGTTCTCCGTGAGTCAAATTTATTTATTGTGAATGACTGCGCGCTCACAGGAGTACGGTGCAGACTACGTTGTGCAAGGTTTGTGTCACAACCGCCACATCGGGCTCACCGAAACTGATTGAGTGACAATTAGGGCACAGATTCAACGTTCTGGAGAATGTTGGCTGCTTACCTGACATATTCAATACGCCTCTAGCTTACCCGCTGGTCTTCATATGGCCAGTACTCCTGGGCTGCATATCCTTCGTTTACGCCTGTAAGTCGGTCAGACACTTGTCTCGGGATCACAATCTAACCCGAAACCTGCAGCACTCACACTTCGCGGCTTCTGGATACGCCGCATGCAATTCAGCGAGCTGCTCTCCAACAACAAGGCCATGACCAGCAGCCGCTACTTCCGACTGATGCTTTTGTCTTGCGCTGAGATGTGCTGCACGATCCCACTCGGCGCATACAGCATCTACATCAACACCGACGGTGTCGAGCTCTCGCCCTGGGTCTCGTGGTCCAATGCGCACTTCGGATTCTCTCGGGTTGTGATGGTACCCGCCGTCGACTGGACCAGTGACAAGCCGTATCTGATCTCCGTTGAGATGGGTCGCTGGATATACCCCTTCTCTGCGTTCCTGTTCTTCGCCCTGTTCGGTTTTGCGGAAGAGGCAAGACGAAACTATAGGGATGCGCTCCGTGCGGTCGCGATGCGCTTTGGTGTCCTCCCTTCGACAAAGACATCTGCCCTCAGGTCATTCCGGTGAGTTCGCAATTAACGCACTCGTGCCTTGCCTCCGTTAACATGCCCTCGCAGCATCGGGTCGAGGAAACAGGATACACTTGACTCTTCGTCACCCACCGAGACCCTTCCTCCATACAGTCCAAGGGGAAAACGTCCTCAACGGCCGAAGTCCTTCTCGTCGTCCTTCCTGGACAGCGTCATCGAAATCGACATCGACTATGACATCGAGAAGGCCGCTGAGTCTCTCACCTCAACCACCGTCTACGGCACCGACAAGCCCGCCGACTCTCCCGCCGCTACATCCGCCACCATGACCTTCCCCGAATCCGCGATGACCGCCACACCAAAGGCGCCGTCTGGGAGGTTCAAGTTCGCCGCCGCGCCTCCCCTATCACCCGAGACGCCCTCCTATCCCCTGACCGTGTCCACTGCCGTCCCGCGGTACCACAAACCGTTCGCATCGATCGGCGACCCGGCCTCGCCTTCGACGATAGCGGCGAAGAGCGCCGCGATACAAGTCACGATGCACCGGGAGGTGACCGAGGTCGCCGAGTCCTCTTGAACGCCGCCATGTCCACGCCCTCCCCAACGCCTCCGGATATACCCCCGCACTGCTACGTCGCGCCCGTCTCCCTCGACTTGGTTTGATGTATCGTTATTGCTCGTTTTCCGCCTGCTTGGTTTGCTCTCCGACTCCCCACTGTATCACTAACATCAAACACCATACCCCAGCATTTTCCCCTTGCCTCTTCTTCAACTGTACTAGCTGCACCGTAATCGCGTCTGCGCCACCCCGATTTGCTGTTATCTTATGATTCTGGATTGCATGTCGCCGTCTTCTCTGTATCGTAGACTGGGCAGAGCCCGCTGAATGACATTCACGACGCGCTCGGTGACGCACTTCTGTGTCATCGTCCGCCCGAAGGAAGAGAAAGGCGAGATTCATGCGAGAGCCGAGCGAAGTAGTGGACGAAGAATGTGAAGGACAGACGTCATCCAAGTAGATCGTCCAGGAAATCTTCCATGTCTTCTTTCCCGGACTTCTGTGGCTTTTGCTCTGTCGGAAGTGGTGGTGCTTCTACGACTCGGTCTGCGCATATGGCCACTTATAAGTGGGCTTTCAAGTATGAGAGGCACTCCGATCGACATACCGTGCTGTCTGCCCCGGCCCATGCATCTGCTTGTTGTGGCTGGTGCCCCTCGTTGTTTTGCTGCTGAAGCACGGAAGCGTGACTTCAAGTCTGCGGTGGCGAACCATAACGGCCGTTAGCTCGCCCTCGTTTACGACGTGGAACTGAACTCACCCCACTTCGCCTCAGCCGCTGCCTTTTCCCTACTCAGCTCCTCCAACGATTCATCCCACTCGACTTGCTGTACCTTCCCCTTCTTCGACTGAGCTGCTGCACCTTGTCGTCCCGGAAGGATGTTTGCGACGCTCGCGTCTATCTCTGGGTCGTCTTCGGGTGGTGGAGGCGCGGAGGACTCTTGTGGTGACAGTCGCTGACGCTCGAGGAACGTAGACAAATCGACCTCGGGTTCCAAAATTTCCTCGCCTACACAACAGTGCAGCATGGTTCAGCTCCCAGGAATCATCCAGGTCCGTTGAGCCATAATACGTGCAACACGCACCTTCCGAGTCTAGCTCTGGCTCGAGCTCCTTATACCTATCTGCGTTCGTCCCAAGCTGCCTCCGCGCATACCTCTTCTGCATCTCCGCTGCCTCTTCTTCATCCAACTCCTCCGGCATCTCACCCTCCAGCACTAGCCGCTGACCGAATTGCGCTGGACGACCTCCACCGCGCCCTCTCCCTCGTGCGCGCAGGTATTTCCCCAGCCCGCCGCGGGACTTCCCTCGGCCTCGCCCTCTTGGGGCCGGATTGCTCGAGCTCGCTGAATCGTTCTCCATGGAATGATATCGATGAAATTGTGTCTGATTGTTGTAGAAAAGAGTAGAGAATTGGAAAGTGGAAGTAGATGGACTGCGAGTCCGAATTGTTCGGGGATGCCCGTAGGCGCTCCTCTGACTTCAACGTGCCGCCGTGCGCGCTCAAGCGCTCAACGCCTCAGGCTTGCATGTAGCGACCACCATGTCGATGTTCAAAGTCAACCTAGCTTGATTCTTCGCCTCGACTCGCAGCTTACAATGGTTCTTAGTATGCCAACATATATGCGGCTCGACATAGTCGGTCCTGGTCCTGGTGTGCTAGTGCCAGTGCTCCGGAGATTGGTCCACTGAAATTGTTTTCCACTTAGGTCTCCGCGACGGTGGAGGTTGCGCCTGACATGCTACACCTATTCTCTAGAGTCGCTCACAAGACTGGGGAACATTCACAGCTCACTAGGTGAGTACTCTAGACTTGGAAATCACGGTCATGTCATTCGTCACTCGTCGTAATCGCGTCAACTGGGCGGTGCCCAGGAGAAAATACAAAACAGCCTATGAGCCCCCCTCCCTCATCAGGCTTCCCCCATATGAACGAAATAAGTTATGTTGTCAAAGAACGAAGGTGTTTGCAATTGGGTCGGCGCGCGAAGTCGAAGATGCGCTGGGTCGTGACGGTGTGAGGCGTGCCTCGTCTGTATCACCTATTATCAGTGCTTCTCTTCACATTTTGGGGAGAAAGAGCACGTACGAATGGATGGAGGCACCTAGGCAATGGTGCAGCTGCCGCTGCCGCTACCACTGGTGGTGTCATAGTTGACGGGGACCTGCTCGGTCTCCTCGGCGGGGACGGGGGTAGCGATGTCGAAGAACGCGTCCATTACTGCTTGTGTGTGTGAGTGGAGGATGGCTCAGAGCGCAGGGACGGTGAGAGCGCGAGTGCGAGTGGTGTCTCGAAGACTGGACTTGCTCTGAACTGGCTGGGTTGCTGGCATTCATGCTTCCCTCCACCAGTATTTATACGACGAGATGCTACTCACCAACTCAAATTCTCGAGACACTTCGATGACGGCCTCGCGGCGAAGACTCATAGCTATTTCTGGCCAGCGTGAGTACCTGGCAGTCAGCCTATTGTCTTGCGAGGCATGAACGCGCGAAGGCAATCTTGCAACTTGGTCAGATACCATCGGGAGTGTCCCCTTTGGATTTCGTTTCCCCGTCTGATGCGCCGCCACAATCACTTTCTTAGTGTCAGAAGTTCAGAAGTGCTCTTCAAGTACCGACCCGCTTCGCAGTGCCAGCGTCGTAAACTACCTTTCCCGCGTTTCACACTGAGGCTCAGTCCTCGCGTCTTGATTCCCCCCTCCTTCAGTCTTTCGCGGATAATCTCGTTAAACCCCCTGTATTGTTTTGTACCAACCATCGATGCCTGTTCTCTCATGCCGAAATATTGTCCTCGACTGACCGACGCCCACCGAGCGAGCTAATCTTTCAAATTGGGACCTGACCTCATGGGCCCTGCCACGAATCGCGGCCTCCTGCTCCTGCTATTCTCGTTGGCTCTTATTGTTGTGCTCCGCTGGGCGGCCCGGACTCATTTCCCGGAAACTTACTCCGGCTGCAGAATGGCTTCAAGTTGAAGTGACTCGGCGCCCGCGCCACACACCCTCCGACTCGCAGGTGAGATGGCGCTTTGCCTTTTATAGTAAGAACGGGCGGCACGCCACGATCGATCGGAGCGCCCCCGCCAGATCCACAGATCTCGTCGGTGACTTCTTCGTGCGCACCCGCATTGGGAAGGTGACTCGCTGCGTTGCAACGCTCGGCAGACAGGGGTGAGTCGCAGTCGCTCCTTTACACTTCCTCCTGTCTCATTCTGCCATACGGTGTTTCGCAGAAACTACTCAGCCATCCCGGTTGCAGTCAAAGTGGCGATAAGTTGTGATCCCCGGTGGCGCCCGTTCTTATTGTTCTCTCTGCACGCATGCACATCTATACCGGGAAATAAGCGCGATGTGTCGATTTGGCGGGACACCTGAGTATGACTTTTGGCGCGCCGGTCTCTACTAGTGATAGCGATCAGAGTCTGGCTGCACCGGGTCGATGTCTGCAGACATCCAGGACGACTCGCCATGCAGTCAATTGGCGAGGCGTTTAGGCTCAGGTGGATGTCATGAGGTTGATGGGAATGTGACCTGTTTTATTCACGTTGAGATACTCACGACTCCGCAGCACAAAGGCTTTTTGGACCGTGTCTAAAAATACGACCGCAGGCTTCGGGGCCTTTCACGAAATCGGCGACCGCAAGACGAGCTAGAAGCGCTATGGACTTCTGCACCTCGATGTAGCTTCTGTGGATTGCGGGCTACATTCATGGTAATGCTATCCCCGTATAACGGATGTAGAAACATAGCGAGGCCGTTTGCGCGATTGTAGGTCAGTCCAAACCTCTGTTACAACTCCTCTGACTGACTGTCAGCGGAGCCAGTGCACGAGAGACAGCTTCACGGCAAGCCATCCGTGGGTCGCCGGCTTTCATTGGCCAAAGAGAGATCGAGATCCGTGCTGCAGCCCCCACACGCATAGATCAACGTCCTGGACACTCGGTCTACTTGGGTATGGCGGTCAATGCGGAGGGCAAGACAATAAGCAAGGGGCACGTTCGATTCATTTCCGCTCAGAAGGCTTCCGATTCTTGGTGATCTATCCGCTGCGTGGCGCTCGAAGCTCGAACTCACGAGTGCGTGACTTGTTTGCCGCTTAGCCAATAGGTCTTCGTGGAACGCTCACGTTTGTAGTCCAGCCCGGGTCCCCGAGTTGATCTTGACCTAGACCATAGATCAAACGCGTAGAGGAGCCAATGATGCCTCCTATACGCAAGCATCGTCAACTTGCGCGTACAGTATGGTTATCCCCACAAGCTACTCAGTCCCCCGGGCGTTTCGGACATCTGGCTTGCAAAGAACCGTATCATGTTACACTAGCACGGAAGACATTCGCCGCTCGTCGTGTAGGAAATGGAGACTGTGTCGAGTACCCCAAGACAATTGGGCGTGCGTCATCATTGTGAACTGGTATGCCGCCGTGAAACGCAATGGGATGCGCTCGTGGATTATGCAACAATACTGATACTGTTAGACCTCCGGCTTGCATAGCAAGTCGGCGCAACACTCATACATTCAATGCAGCACCTTTCCTCTCTGCCTTTCGTGCAAGCTCCTCGATGTACCCGCGGAAGCCTCTGTTCAACCACTTCAGCTCCGGCATCCAACTGACCCAAAAGACTGCGCTGCAATATACTTCATGTCATCACAACCTGTTATAGAAACCTATCAAGAGCACTCACCGCCATCCTAGTGTACCCAACGAGCCGGCTGAATATCCCAGGGCCTCGAGTGTGCCTATGGCCTTGCACACCGTTTCAGGATGGACATACCAAACCATCTCTTCCGAGTCATCAGAAACGACGAGCAAACGGTCCATCTTCGGCAGCTGGTCCCATTCCGCGCCGTCAATCTTGCACCCAAGTTCGACAGCAAACTCGTCAAGGCCGAGATTCTTCGCTTGTTCCCACTGGAGCTGCTCGACGGGTTTGAAGCCTGGTGCGTTCACCGACGGCATGAACTCTGTCCCGTCGGAGACGAGGTAGAATTCCTTGAGGTCGCCCGGGAGCTCGATCC